AATGCCTGACATTCGTGGCAATGTTGCGTAGTGGTTACGTGTAAAGGCTACATGCTGCAATTTCATGGTCGAACTCCCGCTGGGGGTGTTGATAGGATTTAGGTGAGGTCGAAACTGCAGTCCACTTTCAGCTTGGATGAGAAATTCAACGGAAAACATCAGCTCTACTCATATCATTGTGGGAAAACTCAACTATCAATCCTTCATCAACTTTAACGAAATAAGGTGAAAACAGCTCGTAACTAAGTAACGGTCCGAGTCCTGAAACCTTACTTGAAAGCGGAAAATAAGTACAGGCTTTGTTGGTCAGAATAGCTTACACATGAAATGAGGGAATAAATACAAAAATGAAAAAAATGAAAAATTACACACCTGGTTTACCCAGCCCGAAGAAAAGGCCTCTCGAGACGAGGCTGGTGGTGCTGGTGGTGCTGGTGGTGGAGCCGGTGGTGCCTGTGGCAGCAAATCTGACGACGGTGACGGTGGTAACAGGAGGCCAGAGATGAGGACAGACATCGGCGCATCATGACAAGACTCACCGGGAGCAGCTTTGAAGGCGCAGCGGAGATCTTCGGCCGTCTCGGTGTCCTCGTCACCACCACCAGACGCAGCATCGGCAAGGCAACTGGCTGAATGGTCGCGTTGGTGTCGTGACGCTTCACCACGAAGCATTACATCTTCGTTGAGCCTGACGTCGGTGGTCGAGTAACCGGACGAGCTTCTGGCCTGTTGGACCTCGGCGCAAGTGACCAGACTGGCCGAGTCGGCGGCCGCCGGACTGCTTGGTCGGATGCGCTGACTCTCGTCCACGGTGGTACCGGCGTTGTTGCGGAATTGGGCCATGATCTTGACCAACTCAGCCTCTGAGGAGAAGCATTCGCGATGATGCGACTCCATATGCCGTTTCAAGTCCCCCTTCCAAGCGCTGCGGTAGGGACAGAAGATGCACTTGAAAGGCTTGACGCCCCAGTGAAGTCGCATGTGGCGACGCAATTCACTTTGGTACTTGGCGACGTATTTACAATGGCTGCATCGGAAGCTACCGGCTTTGCCGCCGCGCGCAGTCTCCCGCGACTTCTGAACCCCGTGCACCAGTCGCAAATGCTCCGTGAGGTCGCCATGCCATGGAAAGGTGTACGGACAGACGTTGCATCTGGACGGCCAAGCCGAAACGGAGAGATGAGACCGAGTGAGGGGGGTGTGAACAGATACGAAGGTGAAGCTGAGGGAATTGTATCCAACAAGACAGCTGACAATTGTACTCATCAAATGGACGTGTAGAATCAACACTTTCAGCCCGATCCCTAATTTTAGCCAATCTCACCGATTACCAAGCACGACATTGGGACGGAATCTTCGATAATGCCTGTTGGCCTGTTCAAAGGGATTTCGAGATTGCATCCAAAGGATTTATTTATGTGAACAAGCATTTATGAGTGAAGTGTCTGCGAGTACAGTACAAGGTCAAACAACCCAGCACAACATGATAGGATCACATGGATCAATTATAGAAAAGGTGGGAAAAACTCAATGATCAGTCAACTTGAGCTTTTTATGCAAGAATTAGAGCAAGTACTACTTATACGGAAACTAAGTAATATCGTAGAACTGAGAATATATAATCGAAATATGCTAGGGAAATTGTCTTGATTTTGTAAGCGTCAGCATGCTCATCAGTGACAATGACCACAAGGGATTCTTGCTGAGCCTCTGTTCTTCGTGTGATGAACAGAGTATCACAGCTAAAAGTCATCTTTCCGGTTTTTCACGCTTCATCCGAAGTCACTTTTCAGCTGTTGCATCCGTTTCACGCTTCACAAGTCGTCCAAAGCCATTTAACTTAACTTTTGAGAAAACATTTAGGCAGTGCATAAGAATTAGTCAAGTTTGTAGCCAGCCACTTTTCTTGTCTTCGTGTTTTGGGGAATTATCGTAAAGCATGGTGTCCT